ATGTATATCAAACCCAAATATGCAAAAATTATGTTTGTACTTACATAATGCAAAAGCGGGATCGAAGGGGCCAACGAATAATATAAAAACTAGTTATTTTAACTACTCGTCCAAGTTGGAAGTAATTTGAACTTGCAAAAGCTATTTAAAATTTGCTTTCGTATGCGAACAGATGTGTATTGGTCCGTGTGCAAACAGGGAATACCAAACATCGATCACCTAAAAGGATGTACTAATCTTACATGAAAAGCCTATAGTATCCAACACCTGAAGGTTAAACTACCTTTGACAACGGGAAAATCTTTCCGCAGATGTATCATTTTTCTTACCCATTTTGCAACGAGCAAGAGTACCCAAAAAACTACGATTACAAAAAGATGGCTACTGCATTTGCAAACGTGCAGTTTATATAATAAACTGATTTTATTCTGTACGTTATGATATAAAAAAGACAATCATTTAATTACATCGCAGTAAAAATCTTAAGATTACATGCAAACTTTTTTAAATTTGCGCTTCTTCCATATTATATATGTATGTTTTATGTAGTATATATATAGTATATTTCTTTTTGTGTTCAACAATGTCAATAGTTTATCCACATATTCACGTGTGTTAATTTTAAAATTAAATATGTATTTATGTATTTACATATATTTCTTTGATTCGTATCGCTGAGTAATTCATGCATTTTAAAAGGACAATAACATTTCCGTCCGCTGGCCCTAAGTAGGTAAGCAGTGAATGAAATATTTCTTCTTTACACCTTTGTGTAAAAATCAACAAAAGTATCAACTAAAAATCTTACAGGTATTTATGTGTGAATTTTAAATCGGTGTCATTGTGTTATGCCTGCAACTCCATCAGACACAAACTACTTATCCATGCACTGATACATTATTGTTGGCATTCAACTGTTTTGCCTGTGCTGACGGCTGTTCCGTATTGGCATTATTGACCGTCACATTGACGTTGGAGTTACTATTAACATTTGATCCTATTTCCGGCAAATCCGTTCGTGGTCGCCGAAAGAGTATAACATGAGGTTCTGGCGCATGTATCATATAGTGCACCCAACCAGGACTCTGTTGTACACCCAAATTGCGCCACTCGGTTTCACTCATCAAATGTGATTTTGGTACAAGCTTTGTCAGATCTGGAGGTAGTATGACGTGTCTATAAAACAAGTAATTGTTATTTCGGACTACATACAATAAGGAACAATGCAATTAATTATAGACTGGCCTTGCAACGCAACAGGCTGTCGTATTGTGCCTACCTGTATTCATAAATGGCATCGAAGTATTTTTCAGAGTATTGTATTTGATCTGCCGGCATTTTGATTGTAATACTGTACTGTTTGCTACTCAGCTGTTACGAAATGTGGCGATTTTGCAAGGATTATTCTTTTTTTGCAACAAGCGTCGTTTGTTTTCACGTCGAATGTTTAGAAATTGCAAAATGTCAATGCTTCTTCTAGCACGAAAACCATTCACTGCAATTGATGACAGCTATGATCAGGGTTGCCACTTTGGTAAGTTGTTACCAAAATTGGTAGAAAAAATTTGGGTTGGTAAAAAGGTAAATTTTTTCTCATTTTGGTAGATATTTGTTGAACTCTTCGTTACCGATTTATTTTTCGTAGTTATCTTCATATTATAAATTTCTTTGCATACTTTTTATATACTTACATACGTATAAATGTATATCGATATAAGGCGAACATATCGTGCTCCATTCAAAACTCATTTTACTGGAATCCCGGGGAGCTTTTGATTGCCTAAATATTTTAAATGATTATTTAAATACAAATAAAAAAAATGTACAGGTATGTAATGACGCACTATACTTGTTCGCAAAAAAATTTAATCAACGTCATTTTTTATCAATAGAAATTATTAAATAAAAAACACAAAAGACTGGTGGCAAAAAATTAAAAAAAAAAATCAACGGGAACCACAGTGTGAGCTATACTAAGTATTATTTGCTTTAAAACTCGGTATCTTAAATTGTTCTAAAAATTCAGAGTAAAAAATTCGAAATTTGGACGAAAATTTTTCTAAATGTTGTATATAGTTTGAATCCTTAATTTTTATGAATTTAGTTAAAACAACAAAAAAAATTTACGTGAAAAACATTGCGAATAATAAAAAAATCACCAGGTGCTTTTTTGAGTCACTGTATTTGTCAGCCTTGAAATCCAACGGAGAATCACTCTTGCCAAAAAGTGCTACGTTGGGCGGAGTAGGCAATTGAGAAGTAAAGTACTCTCTCGTCGTACAAAGTTCACACTCTATAAGTACTCATCATGCCTGTGCTGGTGTATGGCGCGGAGGCATGGACAATGAAAGCATCTGATGAGGCGGCTCTTGGAGTTTTCGAGAGAAAGATTCTGCGAAAGATTTACGGACCTTTACGCGTTGGTGATGACGAATATCGCAGACGATTTAACGATGAGCTGTATGAGCTTTACAACGATATAGACATAGTGCAGCGAATTAAAATTCAGCGGTTCCGCTGGCTTGGCTATGTCGTTGGAATGGACAGAAACGCTCCTGCTCTGAAAATTTTCAACGCGGGCCGCGATGCTGATAACAGAGGAAGAGGAAAGCCTCCTCTGCGTTGGAAAGACCAGGTGGAGAAGGACTTGGCATTTCCAATTGGCGTCAGTTAGCACAGAAGAGAAATGACTGGCGTGCTGTTTTAGACTCGGCCAAAATCGCTTAGGCGGTTACAGCGTCTATAAAGAAGAAGAAGTATTTGTCTATAATAACTCGAGTTGAAGTTTTTCAAATTATGAAGTTTCGTTGTTGCCGCTTTGAAAGAAACTGCGAATATGCTAATAATATGACTCAAATACCGTATAATTAGCTAAATAAAAATTTCCTTGAAAACAACTTTAATTCTTATTGAAATAACTAAAAAAATAGCAAAACTTTAGTTTCAATTGAAAAAAAGAAAAAAATAAAGCTATAGTTTTTATTAAAATAATTATAAAAAAATTTATTGGTAGATATTTTTTAGATTTGGTAGATTTTTCTCAAGTGGATGGTAAATATTTTTTTTCGTCAGTGGCAACCCTGGCTATGATGCCGCAGCAAACCACGCACGGAAATAACGTTCGCTAGACGGAGCCATGGTGAAAACAAGGTACCAAAGAATGTTACTTTGAAAATAAGTGTATTCGCGTATTCTTCCAGCACAATACTCTCAATAGAAAAATGCTAATGAATTTTTATATGTTCTCTCTGAAGGAGAGAAATGTTTGGAAAAGAACGCGAACGCTAAACTTGCAAATTTCATGAACAGCTCATCGAATTTTTTTTTACATAAAAAATCACAAATAATAAACCATGACAAGAATATGAATTAAAAGTTTGTCTAAAGCAATTTGCTAAGCAAACGGAAAAAAATAGTTTTTACATTCTTTCCAAAAATTTTCCTGCAGTGACAGTTTGGTATTTGAATTTCCCCAACTTTTCTGAATTTTTCAGTACGGGAACAACAAAACCTGACAGTTTTTGAAAGTTATCAAAAACTATAAATACGCGAATACACCTAATAAGCCGCGCATCCTAGACCATAGTGAAAAGAAAGCTCCAGAATTCACCTCACTCTTTGAAGCTGTCCGCAAAAATTGTTGGCATTATTCAAAAATACAGAAAATCAAACCAAAATAAATTTAAACTGCAAGTCGTGGTAATTTTTGCAAAAAAATAAAAATAAATTTTGACGTGCTGAAAGTAAATTAATAAAGGAAATGGTAAACATGTGTTTTAAAAGTGAAAATAACCCTGGTATTCAGTAGTTCAGTCTCATCTCAAGTCACTAAATTTGAGGCTAGCAACCAGTGACTAGCGACTATTTTTGTGATTTGAGATGATTTGGGTATTCAGTAAGAGAGAGAGTCACAAAAAGTTCACTAAAAATGTGTGGTGAAAACAAACACAGACAGTCAATTTCAACTGATGGCATTTATGTATGCCTTTGCTCGCGCCTCTTCAAGTATCGCCATGGCCGACTGGTCAAAGCATTAGACTGCCGCTCGAGAGATCCGTGTTCGAGTCCCCCTCAGGCGTAAGGGTTTTTTATTTACTATGGGGTAGTTTAAGGAGCTTTTCGGCCGGTTTAAAAAAAGCAAACAATGTTTCTTTTTCCTCCTACGCGTTTCGATGCTTTTCACATCTTCCTCAGGGAGTCTGGTGTTTATTGTAAACAATTTTTTTTAATTTTTTTTATTAAATTTTTTTTTTTAATTTTTTTCATTCTTTGGTTAGTTTAATTTTTCTTTAGATTTTAATGTTGCAAAAATAAAAAACAAAAATTTGTTCAATGAATTTGTATGATATTAAAGCATTTTGGTTTATTTCGTAATGAAATTGTTGGTGAACAAATATTTTTTTTCACTTCATGTTCACGGTTTTTTTTTTTATAAAATAGAGAGCAATTATATTTTCCTCCATATTTTTCTTTTTGTGACCAGCTCAGAGCCAGCTGGAAAATTAGTGACTTTTATTTTTGAAACTAGAGACGTGAGACACCTTCTCGAATACCAAATAGTCTCAAAAATCATGTTCACCACGAAAAGTCACTATTAGCGACTAGAGACTGCTTACTGAACCCCAGGGTGAGTTATATTGCTGTGAATAAATGTGCAACAATTAGTATTTGTGCTTAACGATTTTCTTTGATTTTTATCATTTTCTTTACTTACACATAAAAAATAAGAAAGAAAAAAAAACATCAAAAATATAATTGATAAGATGCTAAACTTGCTCGCTATGAAAATACTAAGTATACTTGACGCTTAATGCTTATTCGATCAGCCGCTTAAACTTTCTTCCACTGAACATACGCAAGCATGGCTGAAGTTCTTCTGCCATAAAACGAATTGTAAAGCGGAAACGGAGACGAAAAAAGGTAGAAGCAACAACCGGCTCTGAATTTAAGTGTACTTCCGATAATTGTATATAGAAACAAATGCGATTTAATAACGCATTAGAAAGCGAAACAGCTAGGCGCCAAAACTACATTAAGTAAATATCTGGTATAGATAAATCAGTTCCGAACGAAATTTTCTTTAGTGGCATTCCAGTCGTTCATGATGCTCTCCATGACGCACTAAGGTGTTTGCGCTGTACCGTTCGCGTCGCCGATGAACAAACTCATTCAACCCCCAACCTATTGCAACTTGTTTAGAAAGTGAAAATTGGAAAAACCCAAATGACATGAGCAAAATAAAGCGAATGAAAATATATAGTCAGAACAAAGCACAACAACGATAAACTGATGGCAAGTAAAATGTACGGACAAGGAAAATGGTGGAAAGTCAAATTGTGTAATTGCAAAGTGCCAGCAATGACAACGTACATATGTATGTATGTATGTATGCATGTACATATGTGCAGAATGACAGCGACACAAGATTATCCAGTCAACTAACAGCTAAATACACACACGACGAGTAGCTCGTCCAAAAACGTAAGGAACAAGTGTTGCAAGCGAAGGAGCGAGTTGTGGGTGGGCGATGAGAGTCAACCTAGGTGGGAACGGCGTTGGAACAGGAAACAAATGAACTTTAGGAAGTTTTTGTTTTTGTTCGCCCCGTGTACTGGCACTATGTATATTTTCATTTTCATTCAGGGCAAATCGCGTTTAGTTAAATACAAATGTAAGCGCATACCTACAAATGTACTTAGTTATGTATGTATGTATATATGTAGCATATATTCAAGTGTACATTCCTCCGTATACATATGTATGTATGTATGTACAAACATACATATGTATATATGTATGGACATGGATTCATTGGGTTAAGTAAAAAGGCAGCAAGGCAAGCAGACTGTCAGGCCAGAATATACAGACAAGCGCGTATAGCGCACGGAGAAAAAATATACGCGCAGCACGCAAAATTAAAAAAAAAAAAAATTAAGGAAAGAGCAAATAATAGAACAATCTTCAAAGTGAAAACAGAAGGAATTTTAATAGTTTAGTCAAATAAACAAGTGGAGCAACTACTTGGCCCATGGCAGTCGAGTCAATCAGTCAGTCAGTTGGACAAATTTAACCTTTTTTTAAGTGTTTAACTTCACGGTTTTTGCGATAGCTTCTGAAATTTATGGAAAATTGGAGCAGCGCATAAAAATAGATGAAATACGCGCATAGAAAAGAAATCGACATATGCACGAATGTGTGTAAGTCATCGGCATATTTGGAAAATTATTATAAAACGAAAAGTGGAAGCACAAAAAAGTACATAAAAAATACAGACAAAATTTTGAAATATTCTAAAAATCGGGTAGGAACATTAGTTAATACTTACATATACAGCAGAACATCAAATCGACACACACACGAACATATCTACTGACAATCGTATGGAAAGATAAAGAATATTTCCAAGTGGATACACTTAAACGGCCAGAATAGTAAAGTGTTTTGTAAAAGTATTCG